GGTAAGTTTTGTAAACGAAGTGTACACGTCTGGTTTGTGTACAAGTTACATTGTGTACAGGTTGTCTCTACATTGATACGGTAGAATAAATAAAGAAGAACACTCCCATTCTCATGTAACATCATTTTGAGAAGAAATGATGCTCTGAGTGAAGGCAATGGAAATAAGTCACTCTGTCTTTTTTGGTTATTCCCAGGTTCTCTACACATATGTTGTTATGTATGATAATCTATGTAACTGTATTTGTGTATACCTGATTAAACTTACTTACATACATACGAAAGGAATAATTTTCTACAGTTACCCCCAGTAACACATTTTCTCTTATGTTAGATAGAGAAAATGTTATTCTTGGCATCACTTGTACAAGTTATCTGGCTACCACATCTCATATTTATGTTTATTTATTCTATTGTTTGGGTGTATTTATCATCTTTTTATGTTATGTATCGTGTTTATTATATAATTTTGAAAAAAATATCATGGATGGATTAATGAAAATATGTATATTAACGTAATATACAACATTTAATGAGACTCGGTGATTATTATTATTATTATTATTATCATTTCTAATATGGCGTCACTTGTGCGAGTCGTCTGCTACCACATCTCATATTTATGTTTATTTATTCTATTGTGGGGTGTATTTATCATCCTTTTATGTTATGTATCGTGTTTATTATATAATTTTGAAAAAATATCATAGATGGATTAATGAAAATGTGTATTTAACGTAATATATGACATTTAAATGAGACTTGATGATTATTATTATTATTATTATTATGACCTCTGGAGACATAAGACACTCTTACTGATTTTAACCCTTTCAGGGTCCGTCCCGTAGATCTACGGCTTTTCGGTGAGTGTCCAAACCGTAGATCTACGCCAAAATTCTAGCGCAAGAATAAGAACTAGAAAGAAAATAGAAGAAAACCCAGAGGGGTGTGTATATATGTGCTTGTACATGTATGTGTAGTGTGACCTAAGTGTAAGTAGAAGTAGCAAGACATACCTGAAATCTTACATGTTCATTAGACGGAAAAAAGGACACCAGCAATCCTACCATCATGGAAAACAATTACAGGCTTTCGTTTTACACTCACTTGGCAGGACGGTAGCCCAGGGAGGTACTACCTTCCTGCCAAGTGAGTGTAAAATGAAAGCCTGTAATTGTTTTACATGATGGTAGGATTGCTGGTGTCCTTTTTTCTGTCTCATATCATAAACATGCAAGATTTCAGGTACATCTTGCTACTTCTACTTACACTTAGGTCACACTACACATACATGTACAAGCATATATATATATATACACACCTCTGGGTTTTCTTCTATTTTCTTTCTAGTTCTTGTTCTTGTTTATTTCCTCTTATCTCCATGGGGAAGTGGAACAGAATTCTTCCTCCGTAAGACATGGGTGTTGTAAGAGGCGACTAAAATGCCAGGAGCAAGGGGCTAGTAACCCCTTCTCCCGTATAAATTTCTAAATTTGAAAAGAGAAACTTTCATTTTTCTTTTTGGGCCACCCTGCCTTGATGGGATACGGCCGGTTTGCTACATATTTGAATCTCCTCCTGTATGTTCTGACCTCTGAAGCAATTTTTATATCAGTGCACCACATTATTTATTTATTTATTTTTAGCTCTTAATTGCAAATTTTCGTTGATTAAGTACAGTGGACCCTCAGGTAACGACATTAATCCATTCCAAAGAGCTTGTCTTTAACTGATTTTTTTGTTATCCGAATTAATTTTCCCCATAATAAATAATGGAAATCCAATTAATCCGTTCCAGACACCCAAAAGTATTAAACAAAATAATTTTTTTTTACATGAAATATACATTTCCCTACACAGAAAACAATGAGACATGCAAAATAAACAATACTGAAATGACACTTACCCTTTCAAATTCAAAGTTTATTCTCTATAAGGATTACAATGCTGAGTTTACAGAAATTTGGTTATTGTGTGGTTTACATGTAGTAAAATTGTGATTACAGAGTGTACCACTAGAACGCTTAGCATGGCTAGGCATTTCGGGCAGACTTAGTTTTATTCTTAATTGTAAAATATTACAAATTATGAGGTAAGTTGGTATTATGGCTAAGTGACTAAATACTAGTTTGTGAGTTTAGCAATGTGAATGCTTTTGTTTTGGCACAGTACATAGTTTCAGTATTGGAGTATCACAGGATTCATTATTTTAAGATTGAGGTTAATATTTCTGTTTATGGTCAAATGAGTGAGTGAGTGTAAGTGTGAACCACCAGGTGGTATTCGTGTAGTTAGTTGACGGGGTGTATCAGGGAGATAAGATGTTTTCTAATGGTAGTTTTGAAGGTGATGAATGTGTCTGCAGTTCTAGAGTTCTCAGGTAGGGTATTCCAGATTTTAGGGCCTTTGACATACATTGAATTTTTGTAAAGTTTAGTCGGACACGGGGAATGTCGTAGAGATGTTTGTGTCTGGTGTTATGCCTGTGGGTTCTGTCACAACTATCAAGAAAGCGTTTTAGGTCAAGGTTGATATTAGAGTTTAAGGCCCTGTAGATGTAGATTGCACAGTAGTAAGTGTGGATGTACTGAACACGGAGTAAGTTTAGGTCTATGAAGAGTGGGGGGGGTGTTGCCAGGGATGGGATTTAGTGATTATTCTTACTGCAGCTTTTTGTTGGGTTATTATTGGCTTTAGGTGTGTTGCTGCAGTTGATCCCCAAGCACAAATAGCATAGGTGAGGTATGGATAAATAAGTGAGTGGTATAGTGTGAGAAGGGCATTTTGCGGCACGTAGTATCGTATCTTGGAGAGGATCCCAACCGTTTTGGATACTTTTTTGGTTATATGCTGGATATGGGTGCTGAAATTCAGGTTGTTGTCAAGGTATAAGCCTAGGAATTTGCCCCCATTATTTCTGGTAATTAGAGTGTTGTCAATCTTAATGTTAATTTGTGCATCTCTTGCTCTGCTACCAAACATAATATAGTAGGTTTTGTCAGTGTTAAGCGTAAGTTTATTGGCTGTCATCCAAATCGATATTTTAATCAGCTCCTCATTCACAATGGTGTTGAGGGTGGCAAGATTAGGGTGAGAGATGACATAAGTCATGTCATCAGCAAAGAGAATGGGTTTCAAGTGTTGGGATACGTTTGGAAGGTCATTGATGTATATGAGGAAGAGCAGGGGACCAAGGACACTTCCCTGCGGAACTCCAGTATCAAGTGGCCGTGTTGCTGATGCTGTGTCTTTAATGGTGACGTACTGATACCTATTAGTAATGTAAGATTTGAAATAAGCAAGCGCATGGCCTCTTATACCATAATGATCAAGTTTGTGGAGTAGGATGTCGTGGTCTATTGTGTCAAAAGCTTTTCTTAGGTCAATAAAAATTCCTAGTGGATATTCCTTATTTTCCAATGCTGTGTAAAGCAGATCTAGCATTTTTATGATTGCATCATTAGTGCTTTTATTTTTCCTGAATCCAAATTGGCAGGGGTTGAGTATGTTTTGAGCCATTATAAATGAATACAGTCTCCTGTGCACGAGTTTCTCAAAGATTTTGGATAGCAATGGTAAGTTAGATATTGGCCTATAGTTGTTTAAGTCTGTAGGGTCACCACCTTTATGTATTGGTGTAACCCTTGCCATCTTGAGTAGTTTCGGGAAGGTGCTAGTCTCTAGTGACTTGTTAAAAAGTAATGAAATAGCATGCGAAAGGACATGGGCCGCTCGCTTGTACAGTAGTGGTGGGACATGAGACAGATTCCCCGAGTTATTTTTAAGTAACTTTATAATCTTATTAAAGATGTATTGATGAGTGATAAGATGAGAGGAGGACAGAGGATTGAGGAGTTTACAATTGTTTGGAAGGGGAATCCCCTTCCATAAAGACTTCAGGTAACAAGTCCTTTTCTGGGGTTACCTCCCTTCTTTGTTTTGTAATGCCACTAGGACCAGCTTGAGAGTCACTGGACCCCTGTTGCACCAAAAATATATCCAAAGAGCTCTGTTTCTGGTGTCTCTTTAAGATTTCCCTAAAATGAGACTCAACATTGTCATTGTAGATGTTGCCAGCATGGCCTGCATCAGCTGTGTCAGAGTGATGTCCATCCATGAATGTTTGCATATAAGAAAGCAGGAACACTGCAGCAGGCCTGTTGACCCATACTAGGCAGGTCCTTCACAAACCATCCCACTAACAGAATCGTATTTGCCCAACCCAATTTTCAATGCTTCCCAAGCAATAAGCATTGATAATTCTGTTCACTCATGCGCAAGTCCCAATCAAATCAAATCGTGTGTGTGGGGAAGTACCCTGGCTGGTATGTGGGGAAGTTCCCTGGCTGGTGTGTGGGAAGTACCCTGGCTGGTATGTAGGGAAGTTCCCTGGCTGATTTGTGGGGAAGTACCCTGGCTGGTATGTGGGGAAGTTCCCTGGCTGGTGTGTGGGAAGTACCCTCGCTGGTGTACATAAGAAAGCAGGAACACTGCAGCAGACCTGTTGCCCCATACTACCACCCTCTACCACTACCTCTTTTGTATCTTTCTACAAACCTTTTCTTGAATTCTGTAGTGTTTCTTTGCCACAGGGTTGGCACTAGAAGCTTTGTTTGGGCCCATGGTGGCTTATTTAGCAGTTACAAGCACTAAAAGCGATGAAATAATACAAAAGTATCACATGTACGCATGGAATTGTCCTCACTGGCTTGTAAACAATGGCACACTGGCTGTATATGGAATTTTCGGGCCACTCATGCCACGCTGATATGTTCGGGATGATTGTCCTTAACCAAGTTCTTTCTCGGTAACCGAGCCAATATTTTGACATAAAAACGTGTGACTATCCGATTTTTTCGTTATCTGATAACATTGTTACCCGAGAATCCACTGTATGACTAATTATTATTTTTTATGTTTAATTGATATACAATATTTGGAAATTTGTGCTCTTTTTATTTCAAGCAAAATATTATTTAATTCTCTTTCAATCATTAGAGCCTCTTGGTCGGTTTGGGACTTCAGCTGAAAAGTTTTGATGAAGTCATCAAACCATTAGACCTGCCAATTGAATCTGCCCTTGGAGTGTTCAATCGTGCTATTCGGCGTCTTCTGAAGGCCTTGTCAACCATTCAGGAGACGGCTCTTGCGCGCCACCTTCCCAAGTCAATGGCTACTCTTGCCGAGTTTACACCTGTGTCTGTTTCACTTCAGCAGGATCTTGAAGACGCTGCAAAGGTTTTCTTTAAGACGAGTTTTAAAGTTTTGAATGTAAAATTACATTTCTTTGAATCGATTATTAATTTGGAGCTTTATACTAATTGAACTAAAAATTTAATAAAAGAAAGTCAAGTTCTTTTTATCTTATGAGCATACTGCATCAGTTAATATGTCCCATTATTGTTTTAAAGAATTTTTTTATTCCTTGTAGGATTATGATGAGATGGCTGAGGAGCAACGTAAACATGTGCCAGTTAATTCAAATTTGTTGGGCAACATCCAGAAGTTTGCCATTCAGGGTAATGAAACAGCATGGAAGACAGCTCTCCAGGAAGGACCAGGCAACATTATTAGTGTGAAGAGGTAATAAACAAATGCACAGATAACCTACATAAAGGATACTGAAACCTATGACAGTGTTTCAGTCTGACTTGGACCATTAACTAGTCAGAAGAGCAAACGGAAGGGAGCCAGTATATATAAGAGAGGGGGTTGGGGGTGTGAGTGGTAGAATGGGAGGGAGTAGTAATATTACTACTCCCTCTTCCCATTCTACCACTCCCATCCACTGCCTTTCCCTCATATATATTCTGGCTCTCTTCCCTTCATTCTGTGTGACTACTTAACCCTTTGGGCTTTGAGGGTCCAGACCCCCAATCTAAAAATTCCCCACAGGGTCCAAGAATTTTCGAAAAAAAAAATTATTATTTTTTTCTTATGAAGTGGTAGAGACTCTCTTTCTGAAGGTAATAAAACAAAAAGTATGAAATTTTATTAAAAATTGACAAAATTACGCTCTCACGAAATTTGCTGTGTCAGCGATGTTTATGCATCAGTGATTTTCCCCACTAAGTCCTATTTTCAACCAATTACATTGTTCTATTGGACTAAATTCTTAGCTATTTCACTAGTAAATGTTCCATTTTATCTATTGAGCACGAGAAATCATGCAGTCAACTATTTCAACTACCCAGTAAAGTGATCGGAGATTGGTAATTTCACCAATTTCACACAAAGTTCAAAATTTCAAAATAGGGTCCAGAATAAACAATGCAGCCATTCCAGGCCTGTTTATTAGTTATGCTTCCAGGCTTTACAAGGAATTCCATTTTGATTTTTTATTCACATAAAGAATTTTTATTCACACCAAAAAATAGAAGATTTACTGTTACACAATATTGTAATAATTGAATAAATAATATCAGCACATTTGTGAATGCACATTAGACCCACCAGCTGATGTGTATTGGATGCATGATGTGATTTGTTCACTCTTGAACATCGGCAAAAATCGAACATTTCCACTACACAAGCTATTTTCAGAATTAAAACCAATCAAAATCATAACTATTTCTGTAATATATCTTCCATTCTATCAAATGAGACTAAGAAACCGCGAATGCAACCATAAAAACCATACAAAAATACACAGCAAAGGCACGGTTTTAATTCAAAAACATGGTCACAGTTTTTTTTTCATTATGCACTACATGCAGAAGGATTTGTTTTATATGGTGCACACTTAACACATAGATCCAGTCTCTCATATCTAGGCCTAAACTTACTGCTTACAGCTTATCTGAGTGAGTTGAGCTCATGACGTAGTACTACGGCACAGACCTTGGCTTCAAAGCCATAGAACTACGGTATGGACCCTCAACGGGTTAATGCTACAAGTCACACCAAAACATCAATCATCATGAATTTTAGTGTCTTATGTGCAAGTTATTTACATATTGTTCCAGTCACAGTATTATGCCTCTTTTCTTCTTTAATAAAATATGCATTCAGTAAACTGATGGCAATCATCCAGGAAGGTACTACTAGCCCCTCATGCCTGTGGGAAAATGAAAGTTGTTAAATTACTGATCTTTGTTTTCTTTCTCATAAACACATAAGATGTCAGGTAAATTTTACAGGCTTTAACGGACGACCCCGCACTTTACAACCTGGATAGGGATCGGGAAAAAGATTTGCTTGGCAAATATATGTTAACCCAATCGCATTTTTCCATTTAGGTCCTTGCTATAACTTTGTGTGTGAACCAGGATATTAACACTCACTAGCTAGTTCATTAATTTTTACACTTATGAATTTAAAAAAAATACGTGTATTCATAGTGGTGTTGAGTGAAGCAACATAGTGGTGTTAAGTGAGGCAACATAGTGGTGTTGAGTGAAGCAATATAGTGGTGTTAAGTGAAGTAACATAGTGGTGTTAAGTGAAGCAACATAGTGCTATTGAGTGAAGCAACATAGTGGTGTTAGGTGAAGCAACATAGTGGTGTTAGGTGAAGCAACATAGTGGTGTTAGGTGAAGCAACATAGTGCTCTTGAGTGAAGCAACATAGTGGTGTTAAGTGAAGCAACATAGTGGTGTTAACCCTGTCAGGGTCCAGAAGCCAAATTTCAAAGTGTGCAACCAGTGTCCAAGAATTTTCAAAAAATAATTTTGTTATTTTTTCTTATGAGATGGTAGAGAATCTTTTTCTGAAGGTAATAAAACAAAAAGTACAAAATTTAATGGAAAACTGACAAAATTATGCTCTCGCGAATTTTGATGTGTCAGCGATATTTATGGATCTGTGATTTTGCCGACTTTGACTCCCATTTTAGGCCAATTACATTGTTCCAGTCAACCAAATTCTTAGCTATTTCACTAGTATTACTTCTATTCTATCGATTGAGCAAGAGAATTCACCAAGTCAACTGTTTCAACTACAAGATAAAGTGATCGTAAATTGGTAATTTGGCTAATTTAATGCAAAGTTCAAAATACTCCAATTTCAAAATAGGGTCCAGAATAAACAATGCAGGCATTCCTGGCACAAAACTAACATTTCCTCTGTTCGTCAGTTATGTTTTCGGGTTTTACTAATGAATTCCATTTTGATTTTTTATTCACATAATGAATTTTTATTCGAACCAAAAAATAGAAGATTTACTGTTATGCAATATTGTAATAATTGTATAAAGAATATCACCACATTTGTGAACATATATTAGACCCACCAGCAGGTGTGTATTAGATGTGTGAGATCATTTGTTTACTCTTGAACATCGGCAAAAATTTAACATTTCCACTAATTTGAGCTCAGTTTCAAGCCATTTCCAGTACTAAAACCAATAAAAATCATCTCTATTTCTGTAATATATCTTACATTCTATCAAATGAGACCAAGAAATCGCAAATGCAACTATAAAAACATACGAAAAAACACTGCAAAGTCGCTGTTTTAATCGAAAATTACGGTCTCAGTTTTTTCTCTCATTATGCACTATGTGCAGCAGGATTTGTTTTATGTGGTGCACACATACCACATAGATGTATTCTCTCATATCTAGGCCAAAAGTTACCACTCACAGCTTATCAGAGTCAGCTGAGCTCATGACGTAGATCTATGGTTTGGACCCTCAACGTAAAGCCGTAGATCTACGGCACGGACCCTCAAAGGGTTAAATGAAGCAACATAGTGGTGTTAAGTGAAGCAACTTAGTGGTGTTAAGTGAAGCAGCAGCATCACATAATGGTAGAGGGGGGGGGGGAGTAAGGGGTGAGAGTTACATCAGATGAGAGGAAAGGGGAATTACTTAAGAAAAATAGTTAGGTTACAGAGAGGCAGAGATTAATTTGATGTGACAGGCAAGATCAGGGAGGTGTAACCTTGTGATGTGACAGGCAGGGTCAGGGAGGTATAACCATGTGATATGACAGGCAAGGTCAGATAGGTGTTACCATGTGATGTAACAGTCAAGGTCAGGGAGGTGTAACTGTGTGAAGTGACAGACAAGGTCAGGGAGGTGTTACCATATGATGTGACACTCAAGTTCAGGGAGGAGGTGTTTCCATAGGATGTGTCAGGCAAGGTCAGGGAGGAGGTGTTACCATGTGGCAAATAAGACCCGGGAGGAGGTGTTGCCATTTGATATGACAGAAAAGGTCAGGGAGGTGTTACCATGTGATGTGACATGCAAAGTCAAGGTGTTACCATGCAATGTGACAGGCAAAGTAAAGGAGGTGTTACAGTTTGATGTGACAGACAAAGTCAAGGAGGTGTTACCATGTGATGTGACAGGTAAGGTCAGGGAGGTGTAACCATGTGATGTGACAGAGAAGGTCATTAAGTTAATTCACATGACAAATGTACTAAGCTCAATCACATGACACCTTTACTAAGCTCAGTCACATGACACCTTTACTAAGCTTAATCACATGATACCTTTACTAAGCTTAGTCACATGACACCTTTTTAGTAAAGGTGTCATGTGACACCAGTCACATATATACTGTGGAAGTACATACATCATACACAGAATTTGTGATAGAAATCAGACATCACATAATATAAAAAAAAACACTCGACCTTCCTTATTAAGCAAGGAAAGCCTGTATTTTAAAATTTGTTCATGCTTATAATAAATCAGTTTCTTAAAAAAAGCATAAAATTACACAAATCAATTGGAAATCAAGAATAAAAAAAATTATTTCCACTAAAGAATTTCCTTTATATAAAAAGAATTAATGGGGGAGCAGACAGTGGAAACCCCTGAGTGAACTATGTTTTATGTTGTTATGTTATTGCAGCATTGTAACCTCGTGTATGTCTGATGAACACAGAGTTATAGTGGCAGGGGAAGGTTAGTAATTCAAATAGTAGTTGCAAGGAGTTATCAGTCATATCCTGAGTGGTGTTAGGATACCGTAGATAGGGATGAACTTCAAAATGAGCTGATGTAGGCTAGCTTAGCTTCTTTATTTTGTGATTAAAAAAAAAAGCAGTGTGTTAACTTGAGAGAAGATACCATGATGCTAGCAAAAAGCTTTTGATCCAAAGATCATAAATCAGACTTGGTTATTTGCAGTAAACAGGCATTACATGACCCCAGCAGGTTTAAACATTTCCCCTTAATCCTAATAGTGATAATATGTATGTTATCCTAGGAAGTAGGTTGGTAGACAGCAGCCACTCAGGAGGTACTACCGTCCTGCCAAATGAGTGTGAAATGCAAGCCTGTGATTGCTGTACATGTTGGTAGGATTGCTGGTGTCTTTTTTTTTTTTTGTCTCATAAACATGCAAAATAACAGGTATATCTTGCTACTTCTACTTACACTGAGGTCACACTACACATGCATGTACAAGCATATACATGTATATATACACACCCATATGGGTTTTCTTTTATTTTCTTAATAGTTCTTGTTCTTTATTTTCTCTTATCTCCTTGGTTAAGTGGAAGAGAATTCTTACTCCATAAGCCATGTGTGTTGTAAGAGGTGACTAAAATGACGGGAGCAAGGGGCTAGTAACCCCTTCTCCTGTATATATTACAGGTCTGCCATCACTAATCCAGCAATCAGTTATCCGGTTCCATCAGTAATCCGGCACTAATTTCAGTCATTTCAATTTCTTTTTCTCCATTTATTGTTATAACTTGCTCACTTTTAGCCCTAGCCATGGTTCCAATGAATAAAAGTAATGCTTCTCATTGTGTAAAGCACCTATACCGTACATTGTCCATAAAAGATTAGATAGCTTTGAAGCCACTGTCGGTTGCTGTGAGCTCCCAAGTCTTGTGATATGAAGGAATATGCTTTATTATTACACCAATATCAACACTACGGCTTATTTACTTATTGCAATTGATATAATATGACATAATAAACAATATACTTAACATAAAAACATGGTAAATACTCCAGAATGAATAATAATAATAATAATAGAGGGATAAAAGTACCATCTTATCCCTGTGTAGTACAGGGATAACTATGATATACACTCATTTTTGTTGATTATCTCGGAAGTTATTCATTTATGTCTTAACATTAATAATGATGTCTTAGCATTAATAATGATAGGAATGCACTGAATTTCAGACAGCATAAAAGAACCCCATAAAAGGACCCCAATAGAAATAAGTCACTTTGTCTGACTTTTTTGAGTTATCCTAGGTTCTCTACACATATGCTGCTATGTATAATAATCTATGTAACTGTATTTGTTGTTTGTTGGACTATCTTATTGAAACTTGGGTAGTGTATGATGGAAAGATGCTTCTTAACATACACCAAAAATGAAAGAAATCAGACAATAAATAACGGAGTTCACTTCTCGGCCATTAGCATGTGGTTTTTATGGCTGGATTCTCATTTTTTTGGTCTCATTTGATAAAATGGAAGATATATTACAGAAATAAATATGATTTTGATTGATTTCACAACGAAAAGTTCCTTGAAATTGAGCTCAAAGTAGCAGAAATGTTCGGCTCTTTGCCGATGTTCAAGAATAAATAAATGACGCCACCGTCCAATACATGTCCAAGTGGCAAGTCTAATACACAGTCACAAATGGGTTGACATTATTTATACAATTATTATAATAATGCAATAGTCTGCATAACAGTAAATCTATTTTTTGTATGAATAAAAATTCAAAATGGAAAGCAAGATTAATATAAAAGGGTCCTGGAGACATGACTGATGAACAGAGAAAATGTTATTTTAGTGCCAGGAATGTCTGCATTGTTTATTCTGGACCCTATTTTGAAATTGGCATCTTATGAAATTTGTGTGAAATTGGCCAAATTGCCAATTTCTCACCATTTTTTTTTTTGTAGTTGAAATAGGTGAATGGGCAGTTTTTTGTACTCAGTCCACAGAATAGAAGTAAGTTTATTCAGGTATACACAAAAACAGTTACATATCATACATAGCAGCATATCTGTAGAGAACCTAGGATAACCCAAAAAAGTCAAAGTGACTTATTTCCATTGGGGTCCTTAAAGACTATCATGTAGTCGATGGGTTTTAATGCGTAATAAACCAGCTAGCCATTTTGTATGAAAAGCCAGAAACAAGAACAGATCTTGCAAGAGCCCTTGCAAGATTGCTCTTGCAAGAGTTGCACTGAAGCAAAGGTTCAGTGCAGTGCTTGTATAAACCTTACTGAATTTAAATCGTCTACAGAATTTAAATCCACTAGCGAAATAGCTATGAGTTTGGTAGACTGGAACAATGGAATGGGCCAAAAATAAGGTGAAAATTGGGTGAAATCGCCGATGCGTAAATATCGCCATTGGGTTAAGTGTATTCTAACCTAACCACTCTGTAATCCGGCAAAGTTACTAATCTAATACCCTGCAGGTCCCGATGATGCCGGATTAGTGAAGGCTGGCCTGTACTAAAATTAAAAAGAAAAACTTTCATTTTTCTTTTTGGGTAACCCTGCCTCGGTGGGATACGGCAAGTTTATTGAAAAAAAAAATGTATGTTACGTTTATATGAAGAGAGAGACACTGAATTTTGAGTGAAATAGTACTGAATGAAAGCAAAGATTAATGTTATAATCTGGTGTTGTAAATAAATATGGAACTGTGTGACCTGTATTGGTTTGTTGCTTATGTTTGAATTTAATATATTTGGCTTTGTTTGCAGCATGAAGCGTCAAGCAATGATGACAGAGCAGGAACTGCAACTAGAGCTGGAAGGACCTACTAAGAAGAAAAAAGCTGCAAAAGAAAGAAGACCTATGAAAAAATATGCTAAGAAAAGGAAATAGATATATTTTATTTAGGTACATAAAGATATTCTTATATTGGTTGTTTTTTCATCTCTTTCGTGTATCTAAATCAAATATACTGTGCCATCTATAAGTAAACAGCAACATGAAAAATGCAGTCTCCTCTTCTTCACAACACACTATTAACTTCTCCATATTGACAACTCTTACCTCCCTTCTGTGTGTTTCATCAATCTACAATCATTTATTTTCATGGCATACATAAACCATCTAAATAATCTGGGCTTTTTTATTCAGTGTCCTACATCTATATATATACATATATATATATATACAGTGGACCCCAGGTTTACGATCAGCTCCCAATGCGACCAATTATGTAAGTGTATTTATGTAAGTGCGTTTGTATGTGTATGTTTGGGGGTCTGAAATGGACTAATCTAATTCACAATATTCCTTATGGGGACAAATTCGGTCAGTACTGGCACCTGAACATACTTCTGGAATGAAATAATATCGTAAACCGGGGGTCCACTGTATATTTTTTTTTCTCAACAAACCGGCCGTATCCCACCAAGGCAGGGTGGCCCAAAAAGAAAAACGAAAGTTTCTCTTTTTAAATTTAGTAATTTATACTTGCCCCTCGCCCCCGGCATTTTAGTCGCCTCTTACAACACGCATGGCTTACGGAGGAAGAATTCTGTTCCACTTCCCCATGGAGATAAGAGGAAATAAACAAGAACAAGAACCAGAAAGAAAATAGCAGAAAACCCAGAGGGGTGTGTATATATATGCTTGTACATGTATATGTGTAGTATGACCTAAGTGTAAGTAGAAGTAGCAAGATGTACCTGAAATCTTGCATGTTTATGAGACAGAAAAAAGGACACCAGCAATCCTACCATCATGTAAAACAATTACAGGCTTTCGTTTTACACTCACTTGGCAGGACGGTAGTACCTCCCTGGGTGGTTGCTGTCTACGAACCTACTACCTATAATAAATCTTATGTCTGCAATTTTATGTGTATACAATGAGAGAGATTTTGGGAAATGTTGAGTGAGTGCGTGGGGAGTTTTGAACCAATTGAGAGAGTACTTGTGGTTGGGGATCTCAATGCTCAAGTGGGTAAAAATGTTGTAGAGGAAGTAGTAGGTAAATTTGGGGTGCCAGAGGTAAACGAAAATGGGGAGCCTTTAATTGAACTATGTGTAGATAGAGGTTTGGTAATAAGTAATACATATTTATGAAAAAGAAGATAAGTATACAAGATATGATATAGCACGTAATGAAAGTAGCTTGTTAGATTATGTGTTGATGGATAAAAGGTTGATGGGCAGGCTTCAGAATGTACATATTTATAGAGGGGCAATGGATATATTGGATCATTATCTAGTTGTAGCTGCAGTTAGGGTATCTCATAAATGTTTAACCTGTGACCCAGTCAAACTTTGTTATTTTTAATTACATTACCAAACAGAATACTCCATTCTACTGAATGCTCAGCAACACAGTAAATGACCATATGACCTGTCTTTGAAATACTCATTTGTGCTTAATTGTTATTTGTTTACAATAATGTTTACCACTGAATATATCATTGCTTAGTTAATCTTAAGTTAATTTTAAGCCAGCCCATAATGCTCTGCATACAAGGGGCTTTGGCATGTTACACTTAACCACTGTATTTCTTTGTACTTCTATGTATCATGTTCAAATTAATAAATAAATAAAATAAGAGGTAGATGGGACAAAAGGAAAATGGCAGCAGTAAGTGAGAGAGAGGTGAAAGTTTATAAACGAAGGGAGGAGGAAGTTAGCCTGAGATACAAACAACTTTTGGCAGAAAGGTTGGCTAGTGCAAGTATGGGTAGTGGGGGGGTTGAAGAGGGATAGGATAGTTTTAAAAATGCAGTACTGCCTCACCTCACTTATCGACATACTCGTTCACCAACGACTCGGACTTACGATGTGCTCTCTGACCAGTATGCATACCTGAATGTATATTAGAGCTGATTTCCTCTGTTCTTTTTAATACAGTATGCAGTACACTATTGTGTAAGCATTTGAAAATATGCCAGAAATGTTATAAATGGTGCAAAGGTGACATTAAAACAATATCAAAGAGTATGCTCCTCACTTAGCAATGAATTCGTTTACAGATGTGGTCTTAGGAACGGAACTCCGACGTTAAGTGAGGAGAGGCTATATTAGAATGTGGGGCAGAAGTTTGTGGCTATAGGAGGGTTGGTGCAGGAGGAAAGAGGAGTGGCACTGGGGAATTCCATGGGGTTGGATGTGAGTGGCCATGATGTGGAAGAGTTGATGGAGGACCCCAATCAAGAGCTAACCACTGATGAGCTGCAAGAGCTTCATCTGCAACAGCAACAGACCACAGCTCAGGAAATTGCTTCAGAGGACGAGGAGGAGGAGGAAGAGAGATGGAAGAAGGTGCCTTCTTCAGAGATTAAGGAGATTTGTGCAGTGTGGAGCAACATCACCCTGAGAAAGCTGTAGTAATCTGTGCTGGTGACTTTTACAATGACAATGTCATGTCCCATTTTAGGCAAATCTTGAAGAGACGCCAGAAACAGAGCTATCTGGACAGATATTTTGTGCGACAGGGGTCCAGTGACTCTCAAGCAGGTCCTAGTGGCATTAAAAAACTAAGAAGGGAAGTGACCCCAGATAAAGACTTGGTACCTACAGTCCTTATGGATGGGGATTCCCCTTCCAAACAATAACCTCTCTTCCCTTTCCCCTTCCTCTCTTCCAACCACCAACAACAGTCTTCAATAAAAGTAAGTGTCATGTTGAATGTTCATTCTTTTGTGCATGCAAATCTATTTTTAAGGTAAAAAAAAATTTTTGTTAATACTTCTGGGTGTCTAGAATGGATTAATTGGATTTACATTTTTTTATGGGGAAAATGGTTTCAGTTTTTGTCAATTTCCATTTTCGACAATCTCTCTCTCTGGAATGTATTAACCCTTTGACTGGCGACGATATAAACGTTGTGAGAGGTCAAACAGGTGTTTGACGTATGAACGCACTAAATTCAGCGGCATCAAAACAGCTAGGAGAAAGCTATAAGCCCACATGTGAGAAATGGTCTGGGTGTTCATGTGCACCACATAAAAAAATCCTGAGCACGCAGTGCATAATGAAGAAAAAAAAAAATCCGACCGTTTTTTTAATTGAAAATTTCCGACTTTGGGGTAAGTTTTCGATAGTGATTTTTGGTTGACTCAGTTTTCATGATGCTGGTTGATAGAATGGAAACTTTTTATTAAATTTGAGGTGATTTTGATTAATTTTACTATAAAAAGAACCTGAAATGGAGCACAAAGTAAAGAATTTTGATTTTTAGCCGATGTTCAAAAGTATAAAATGATTCATTTTCGCAATAAATGTTTCAATAGCCATTCTAATACGCAGTCATGAATGAGTTGATGTAATTTTACAATATTACAGTATTGCAGTAGTCTGGTCATACAGTAAATCTTATTTTTTGTTTGATAAAATTTAAAATAAAAAGCAAGAGTTAATATACAGGGACTGGAGACATACTGATGAACAAAGAAAATCTTATTTTAGAGCCAGGAATGTCTGCATGTTCATGGACCTTATTTTGAAATTGTCGTATTTTTTAATTTTCGTGAAATTGGCCAAATTGCAAATTTCTGACCATGTTAATTGGGAGTTGAAATCGGTAAATGGGCAGTTTCTTGTGCTCAATCGATAGAAAAAATAGAGTTCTGAAGACATAGTTATGAGTTTGGTTGGACTGGAATAACGGAATTAGCCGAAAATAGGGCTCAAAGTGGCGAAATTGCTGATTTTTAAATATCGCCGAAGTCGCTAACTTCGCGAGAGCGTAATTCCGTCAGTTTTCCATCAAATTTCGTTTTTTTGGTGTCTTTACAATCGGGAAAAGATTCTCTATCATTTCAAAGAAAAAATAATTTTTTTTTTTTCGAATATTTTGCGACACCAGGAGCAACTTCAGGATTGGGCCCTTCGACAGTCAAAGGGTTAAACACGAAAACTGAGAGGTCCACTGTATATGGAAAGTAAAAGAAAGGTGAAGAGAGTAGTGAGAGAGTGCAAAAAGAGAGCAAATGATAGAGTGGGAGAGGCACTGTCAAGAAATTTTGCTGAGAATAAGAAAAACTGGAGTGAGATAAACAAGTTTTAAATATTGATGAAGAAAAGGAGGCAGTAATTTCATGCACTCGCCATGGAGGTATACCATCTTTTAGGAGTGAAGAAGAACAGGACGTGAGTGTGGAGGAGGTGTGTGAGGCATTACGTAGAATGAAAGGGGGTAAAGCAGCTGGAACTGATGGGATCATGACAGAAATATTAAAAGCAGGGGGGAGGATATAGTGTTGGAATGGTTTGTATTTTTGTTTAATAAATTTATGAAAGAGGGGAAGGTACCTAGGGATTGGCAGAAAGCATGTATAATTCCTTCATATAAAGGGAAGGGGGACAAAAAAGATTGTAAAAATTATAGGGCAATAAGTTTACTGAGTATACCATGTATAGTGTATTGTAGGGTTATTATTGAAAGAATTAGAGGTAAGACAGAGAGCAGGATTGCAGATGAGCAAGGAGGTTTTAGAGTGGGTAGGGGATGTGTAAATCAGGTGTTTACATTGAAGCATATATGTGAACAGTATTTAGATAAAGGCAGGGAAGTTTTCATTGCATTTTTGGATTTAGAAAAGGGATATGATAGAGTGGGTAGGGGAACAATGTGGCAGATGTTGCCAGTGTATGGGATAGGTAGTAAGTTACTAAATGCTGTAGAGTTTTTAAGAGGATAGTGAGGCTCAGGTTATGGTGTGTAGAAGAGAGGGAGACTACTTCCCGATAAAAGTGGGTCTTAGACAGGGATGTGTAATGTCACCATGGTTGTTTAACTTATTTATAGATGGGGCTGTAAAAGAAGTAAATGCTAGGGTGTTGGGGAGAGGGTTGGAATTAAATTATGGGGAATCAAATACAAAATGGAAGTTGGCACAGTTACTTCTTGCTGCTGATACTGTGTTTTTGGGGGATTCTGAAGAAAAGTTGTAAAGGTTAGTGGACGAGTTTGGGAGGGTGTGTCAAGGTTGAAAGTTGAAAGTGAACATAGATAAGAGTAAGGTAATGAGGGTATCAAACAATTTAGATAAAGAAAAATTGGTTATCACATTGGAGGGAGGAAGTATGGAAGAAGTGAATATTTTCAGATATTTGAGAG